ATACAGAGGCCACGTTTTGTGATTCCGCCATGGTCACCAACACCCAACGGTCACCTGCTTTGCTGATGTCACCCTCACCGTTAGACTCCACCCATTTTACATCCTTGTGTCAGCTAATGAAAATCATTTCCATGCGCAGTGCTAATTATTGTTCGACCACTGGTCCACAGCAATCACCCCTTACTGTTCGATCTTCAACAAGGTTATATGTTGTCGTCCATCCTGTTCAATTACACCACTGACTGGAGTGTCCTACACGGTTTTGACCGTGTATACTTTGCACCCGGATGCCGGCGGGCTAGTCTCGACTACGCTAATGATGTCGCCCTGCGAGCCTAGTTCATTGGTGACCTATTGTTTTCTGTGTCGCGGGTAAATTAATTCCTTAAATCGGCCGGTTTGTCGATGTTTTCGAGCTGCATCCTTAATCAGGAGAAGGAAACCTCACTATTAATGACTGCGAGGTGCGCAACGCATCAACGAACCTCCCTATTGCTCCTTTGCTAACGTAGAAGGGCCTTGGGACTACAGTCTTAGGCGCGTCATGATTACTTTCCGCAGTCGAAACATTTCATTTCCTTCAAGTAATGTGCTTGTACGGAAAAAACTATTGGCAACCCCTTTTCTGGCCCGATAGCTTTAAATGTACTAACGGTCGTATCTGGAAACGTTTCCTATCATAATAGCTTTCTGATCTTTAGAACTGTTCTTGCGTGTCTCGTGAATTGTATATTGTTTCATTGAATGTGAAGGATGATGGACGCACTCTATATTTAATACTCGATAGGACTACACAAACTTTTCTATGTAAATTCTTTCTAGCGCTCCGTAGCTCATCACGTTTTCGGCGGCTTTCAACTATCGATTTGACTCTCATCGGGCTTTCATCCTAACGTTGCGGTTCGGCTAACGCACACGTGCACGGTTTTTTTTTTCATAAAAGAATCAATCTTTCATCGTCCTTCTCTCTTGGTCCGAAGTTTAGAAGTACATTTCCGTTCTAAGCGCTGTTCACACCGACTCTGTTGTTATTTTCGAGCCGACCCTAGTAGTGCCTATGTGAATCCGTGCATCAAGGCACCAGGCCTGCGGCATTGTGTACTTGGTTTGTGTTTTTCGATGTCAACGTTTTGTTAAATAGACCCAACCGCGACCCTATTTATATGCCGCGCAGGTATGTTAAAATGCAATATCTCATTAGTGTTTTTTGATTGTCCTTTTAGGCGTTTGCTCCGGTACGAACCCGTCCTTTGTGAGTTGGCCTTTGCCGGAACCGAAGCATCGCCTACGCTGACCAAGTGTTTGTCGCAATGCTATGAGTCTTTGGATTCCGAGGCCGCTGGCGACTGTGGTTGCCAAGCTTCCACTAATGACTCCACCGTTCCCTCGGCTTTTGCTGGCGACGACCTACCCGAAACCCTCGACCAAGCAAGGTAGCAGTGGGTTTCCTTTTCCCGGTGCCTCGCCTCTTTCGACCGGATGAAGACGAATGTTTTGCTCCGGCTTCGCCCAGCATCTTGGTTCAGGGATGCAGTGCGCCACGGAGTTTGTATCATATACTCATCGTCACTGTACAGTCCCGAATTGATTTTGTCCCCCTGCTCCATCTGTTTGTACACATCTGTAAAGTGACCGTAATTATGTTTCCCCCGACACTACTCGCCAGTTTGCCGACGCAACTGCTCATATTAACCGTCCTGTCTTAAGCGTTCTTTCTTACTTCCTCTGTGTACATATGATTCATATTAATGCCTTTATGTCTTTTGTACTCTTATTCCTTTACTTCTTGATGACAATGATGATGATGATTATGCGTTATCTCTGTGACATTTGGGAATTCCCCTCCTGTGTGGGCACCAGTGGTTAATACATGCGAAAAAAATACCTTCATTACAGAACTGCACTTCCGCTTGTGGGGATTTCCTTTCAGTATTTATTTTGCAACTGCTTTGTGTATCAATCGGACGGGGTTGTTTCCTGTGAATGAGTCGGAAGGGGCCATGGCCAGCCGTTTACTGACTCTTTGACTCGAGGTAAGATGACGACGGCCTG